ACAAAAGAAGAAAAAAGGGAGCATTCAAACTGTAAAGGAGGAAGTTAAATTAACCCCTATACAAAATACATTATATTTTTTATATACAAAAATCTAGACACCACCAAAAACTGTTAGAACTGATAACTTCAGAAAAGCTACCATATTCAAAATAGACATATAGAATAGCATATTTATGTACCAATAATAACCTTGCTAAAAAAAATCTAAAAAGGTAATCCTATTTGTAATAGCGTAAAAAAAGAGCAAGAGTGGAAAATATAAAACAATGATCAAAGAAATTGAAGAGAACACATCCTATGTTTATGAACTGTTAAAATATCCATACCCCTCAAAGTGATACAGTGAAGGCAATCCCCATCAAAATACCAAACAACATTCTTCTAAGTATAGGAAAAAAAATCATAAAACTGACTTGGAACAAAAGTCCCTAAATAGTCAAAGCAATCCTAAGCAAAAAGAACAAAACTGAAGACAACACCTGTTGGAAGTCCTGTAATGTTTACAATGCCTAAGTTTTATTGGTCTTGTTCTCTACTGTTTTGTTCAACTTTATAATACCTAATGAGATAGACCATTCTTTTTAAGGAAACAAGAGACGTTATGATAACCATTGTTGATAACCTTGTACTCTGTTTTACATCATGTGCTATGTCTATCCTTGGTTTTGACTGACAGCTTTGTTTTGCCATATTTGACTTTATTCTCTCCCCCTCAAAAAAGTAATAAGAACTAAGGAGTAATAAAACCCAAAATGTGTAAATTTTGTTGTAAGAAAGAGAGGGAAAAAAAAGAGCTCTAAAGGATACAACAGCAAGTGTGTTTAGGGGTGTTAAATAGCTGACCATATTAATGTTTTTGGTTGGATCATTGAACACAACTGTTTGCAGTCTCACTGTTTGAATGTCCACTTTGTATTCTTTGATGCTGTGATTTGAGCAACTATTTCTAAGATGATAATATGTAATCTATTAACTGGTGATTTCTTACTGTTTTTTGTTTTTTGTTTTGTAGTTCTGTATTACGTGTACCCTTACACCGCTTTGTTTTGTTTTGTGTTTTTCTCTTTTTCCTTTTAAATAAAATTAAAAAAAAAAAAAAAGACAACACCTGACTTCAAAACATACTACACAAAACTCTAGTAATCAAAACAGCACAGTACTGGCAGAGACCAATGAGAAACAATACAGAGCCCAGAAATTAATCTACACATAACCAGCTGATTTTCAACAAAAGTGGTATGAACATACATGGCAGAGAGGACAGTCTCTTTAGTAAGTGTTGCTGAGAAAACTGAATGTGATAATATCAAACTAAGGTGCTCTGTAAAGAAAACAACAGTGGAAAAAAAAACCTTAAAAATGCACTAAAATATTTATGAACTATTATCCAGCAGGCAATTGATATCTGCAATATAGAGGAAGTTAAACAATCTAACAGCATGAAAACAACCTGATTTTTAAAATGGTCCAAAGATCTGAATATACATTTCATAAAAGATGACATACAAAACAGCCATTAAGTATATAAAAATGCTTAGCACCACCAACTATCAGGAAAATGCAAATCAAACTTACAGAGACATTATCCCATCCCAGGCAGAATGGCTAGTATCAGAAAGACCACAAAAAAGAAAAAAAAAAAGAAGAAGAAGAAAGAAAATGCTAGTGAGTATGGACAGAAAGGGGAATTGTTATACACCACTGGTGACAGTGTAAATTAGTATAGTTGCTATCGAACACAGTATGGAGGTACCTTACAAAACAAAAAAAGTACTACCATATATGCTGCAGCAACCACACAAGTGACTGTATATCCTAAAGAAATGAAACCAATATACTAAAGAAATACCTGCACGCCCATGTTTATTAACACATTATTCACAATAGTGAATATCTACATATTTGAATCAATTTAAGTATTCCTCAGTGGATAAATGTGTAAAGAATATAAGGTATATATAAAGAGTAGAACATAATTCAGCCATAAAAAAAGAAGCAAATTCTGTCACTTGTAGCAATGTGGATGGAACTAGAGGACATCAGGTTCATCATGTTAATCGAAGACAGCCAAGCACACAAAGATAGTATTACACAGCCAGGGATATAGCTCAAAGGCGTAAGTGCATGGCTGGCAAGCACAAAGCCCTAAATTCAATCTCCAGTACAAAAAAAAAAAAAAAAAATTTACATAATCTCACCCATGTGAAAGCTAAGAAGTCAATAAGAGAAGCCACTAGAGACTAGGAAATGTAGGAGGGAAGAGAGGTTAACTAAAATAACATTGAGATGGAAGGAATTCTAGCGTTCTACAGCATAGCCGCACAGCTACAGCCTATGTACAGTAAGTTATGATTACTTAAAAACAGCAAGTTTGAAGGTTCCCAACATATGGAAGTGATACATATCTAAGGAGACAAAATTGCTAATTGTCCTAATTTTTTATTATATACTACACACATCTACTAAACTAACATACTCTGTACTTCATAATATACAAATATTATATTGATTAAATTTTTTAAAATTGTACTTTTTAAATTTCCCAAAGTTAGTTATCCAAAATAACCTTAAAGAAATTTAAGGATTAGGGATACAGCTCAGTGGCAGAACACCCGTCTGGCAAGTGTGAGGGCATGAGTTCAATTCCCAGTACCAAAAAAAGTAAAATAAAAAACAGAATAAAATAAACAAAAATACTAAAAAGGTGGGGATACAGTTCAGCAGCACAGCACAAGGTCCTGGCAAGCACACTGAATTCAACTGTGAGTACCAAACAAAAAGAAAAAAAGATCTGAGCTGGGGATTTAGCTCAGTGGTACAGCGCCAGCTTGGCAAGAGTAAGTCCTGATTTCCATTCCTGGTACCCTCCCAAAAAACACAAAGACAAGAAAAAAGAAACAGGCAGGATAAGGCGGCACATGCTCATAATCCCAGTACGTGGAAGGCTGAGGCAGGAGGATCACTGTGAGTTTGGGGCCACTGTGAGTTTGAGAGGCCACTGAGCTACACAATGAATTCAAGCCCAGAATGAACTGCACAATGACACCCTGCCTTTAAAAAAAAAGAGAGAAAGAAATAAATTTAATTGTAAATTAAATCCAGGGACAGTTACTCCTTGCATTTTACAAACAAAATCCATTTGATTCTGGTTCACAAACCTTACATAATCTGGCCTCTATCTATCCCTCTGAATCATGTCCCACTTTCTGCTCTGTCTACAATGCAACCACACTGGTCTTTTTGTTCCTAAAATATCAGAAACTTTGGCTTTAGAACTTTTGCAACTATTTCCATTGGCCAAGAATATTCTTCTCCTTGATTTTACCAGTGCTAGACTCTTCTTCCTATTGATAGTTTAATGCCACTTCCGAGAAACTTCCAGTCTCCAGTCTCCAGCCTGCCAGTGGCCCTTAGAAAGAAAATGCATACTATTTCCCACATAGTATGCATAACAAGGTTATATTTTCTGTTTGTTTGTTTACTGTCTATTTCCACAAGAATGTAAGCTCTATGACAGCAATCACCTTTTTAGTAGATTCAACGCTTTATGCCCAAGACGCAGAATAAATATGTATCAAAATCAATATATCTTAAGATTATATAAAGTTCTGATGTCATCAAAGAACAGGAAACAAAATGTTATCTTTTAATAAATATAGCTACTAAATAAAACCAATTTACATTAGTAGCAACAAATTCAAAATTATCTTTAGATATTCTGAGTTTTTAAAACAACTAATGAAAAAATCACATTCATATCAAAACTAAATTACATTTTCCAGTCACTAGCTAAAAATCAAAACACCGGGCTGGAGATTTAGCTCAGCGGCATAAGTGCCTGCCTTGCAAGCAGGCAGTCGTGAGTTCGATCCCCAGTACCAATAAAAAGGAAAAAGACAAAAAAAAAAAAATAAAAAATAAAAACATTTAACCAATATTAGAGAAAAAAAAGTATCCATCAATAGGTGAATGGATAAACTGTGGTATATTCACACAAATACTACAAAGCAATAAAAAAGAAATGAACTCTTGATATACAACACAGGTAAGTCTTAAATAATTATGCTCAAAGAAGCCAGCCCCTCAAAAACAGTACTATATGATAAATGACACCATTTAAGTAAATAATGAAAGGAAATAGCAATGATTACTTAGGGAGGGGCTACTACCAGGAAAGGATTACAAAGGGAAACTAGGAAACTTCAGAATGATAAACATGCACCACATCAACTATGGTGATAGCTTGACTGGTCTGTACTTATGTCAAAACTCATTCAAACTGTATATTTTAGTACAACTTAGGGGATGAGGCTATAGTTCAAAGGTAGAGTGCTTGTCTAGCATTCATGAGGACCTGGGTTTTATCTCCTACACTGCAAAAGTAAATAAATATTTATATTTATTTATTTAATTTAAAAGTAAATAAAACTTTTTAAAGGACTAATAATTGACACTGAGGAAATCAGATACGTTTAATATTCTCTTGGGTGCTGGAGATTGATGCAACTCCCTTGTACATATTAGGTAAGCACTCTACCACACAGCTACATCCCTAGCTGCTTTTATGTTTTTATTCTAAGATAGGTCTATTATGCTTCGAGGCTTGTCTCAAATTTGACATCCTCCTGCCTCAGTCCCCAGATTACAAACAGGTGCCAGCAGGCCTAGTTTAACTAATTTTAATAAAAGTTATAATAAAAATAAAATTTTTTAATTTTAATAAAACTTATAATAAAAATAAAATTTTAAATGTTACACACCTTATCAGCATTATAAACTGATTCCTAATGGCCATGCTGTCTTTTGTGTTTTTAGTAGTCCTGATGGAACCCAGGGTCTCAAGCATGATAACAGGTACTCTAGCACTCAGAGTTAGGTCCCCAGCTCTCCCATAGGTAAGGTTTTAATTTTTAACTTCAACAACAATAAGAAATGTAAATTCATAAAATTAAATCTCCACATCAACAAACCTAAAAACTATTACATTTTCACAATTACCTGTAGAAGATGGTGATTTCTCTGAGTGTTTTGCATTTAAAAGTTTTCTGCTAATAAATATGTAACCACAGGGACATGATTTACATGCAACAGGAACCTGTAGAAAAAAAGAAAATAATTACTTTTTCTATTGCTAAATTTCTCAGTGTTTAATTTCCTCAAATTAACTCTAAATTACTTGAAGTAGGAATCACTGACTTATTTAAACACAACATCCTTACTACAAACTGTATGAGACAGAAGAGTATCACGTCACACAGACTTACATCTTCTTAGTGCTTACAGTACTATGAACACTGTACTATCTCATACTATAGCAGCACCATAAGCAGTAAATGCATGATAAAAGTGCAAAATGTAATAGACAACAGAAAATCTTAAAAGGGTCAGTGCCAAGGGATGTTACGTAAGAAAAAAAGGTAGCACTTCTAATGCGTGTGGTGGTCCATGCCTATAATCTCAACACTCAGAAGGCTGAGGCATAAGGATTATTACAAATTCAAGTATGAGCCAAACAGTGAGACACTGTTCAGAAAAAAAGCAGAATTTCCTAAAATACTAGTTTGAGATACAGAGCAAACTGGGTAAGGGGAAGTTAATCGTAAGATTATCAGGTACCAACTACATGATTAAAACAGTGAGAATGAACACAGAGAAAAGGTAAATTTGTCACAAGTTTTAAAGACGAAAAACAAGATTCAGGTCAAAACTTACTAAATGTGATAAAATAAAATGAACCAAAAATAACTCAGGGTTTCAATATGAGACAGGAAGATGCCAATTACCCCTGAAAAAAACCAACAGTTTTCAACAACCAATTTGAGAGTCACAAATACACTATAAACAAAAAAGAATGTAGGGGTTGAGATGCAGTTATTTAGTTATAGTCCAATTCACAGAAAAGATCTTGAACAAAACATTTAAATCCCACAGGTTTCTGTTTCCAAACCTGTATATTTTAGACAAATGTTACTAAAAATCACTGAAATTTTTAATTTGTCCCCATAATTGTTTCACCTATTATTAAAGTTAATGATTCCTAAAATCAAGACATTTCATCAAAAATTAGATTAGTCTTAATTAAAAAACTCAGAACACTGCAATTCTTTTCATAAGATAAACTTTACTTGCTAAAAGTCATAAAGATTGTAATTCATGTATGAACAGAATGCTTCAATTCTAAATATATTCTATCTAATGAAGCTAAACTGAAATTTTGGCAGAAATCTTTTTCTTCATGTAAAAATACTGAATAAAGGACTCCCAATTTGCATTTAAGAGACATTAACAATGAATACTATAAAAAGGAACATCTAACAGCTTGATTTATTAAAAATGTGATGAGAGGGGGCTGGTACCGACAAAAACGAAAAAGACAAAAAAAAAAAGTGATGAGAATGCTTCAAGCCATGTAAAAGAGTATTCCATAATGTGGTTGTTTTAGAGCATCTTAAAAATCAATTTAATAGTGTAAAAGCTCTTCAAAGAAGATGTTTATCATTTTTTAAAATTTCCTAACTTTATAGAAACAAAGATACTGACTTATTTCCTTTACATTTAAATGCATCATAAAGGCAAACACAGTAAACTACTTTAAACTAATGCTATCCAAAACACACAAAAGCATGATGTCCTTAATCAACAGCTCCTTTGCTAATCAGCAACCTTTTTCTTGCAGCTGCTAGAACCCAATAAACTGACCTTCAGCCACAACAACTAAGCGTGTACTACAGTTAGATGAGAAATGTAGTCTACAGCCATACCACCCTGAACATGCCCAATCTCGTCTGATCTCGGAACCTAAGTAGGGTCAGGCCTGGTTAGTACTTGGATGGGAGAAATGTACAAAGGGCTTTGAGATTCAGATGCACCAATTCAAATGACAGGCTGATTTTCATGCCTTAATATGTTCTCAAAAAACATGTGCCTGAGCTAGTTCATTTTAAAGCCCTGTTTATTTTCATTTTTTAAATTTTTTTGTTTTTAGTCTCACTCTATAATTCAAGTTGGTTTTAAATTTACTACATAGTCCAAGCTAGCCTCAAACTTGCAGCAATCCTCCTGCCTTAGCCTTCTAAGTGCTGGGTTACATTTGTGTTTCACACCTGGCTCTAAATTCTTGTTTATAATTGGAAAATCCCACCCAACCCTTGCCCCAGAAAGCAAAACAAAAAACCCCACAATCCAGATCCTGTATAAACTACAATATTACAAAACAGAATGGACAACTTAGACTGGACAACAGCAACCTCCTTAAATTAATTATACAACAGTATAATTTGGATTTAATTCAAACACCCTAAACTTCCTTTGAATTTCAATTGGTAGGAACCCAGTGTGGTGGTACACGCCTGCAATCCCAGCACTCTAGAAGCCTGAGGAAGAGGACCATGGGTTTCAGTTTACCCTGGGCAAATCAGCAATTTAATAAGAACCTGAATTAAAGATTGAAAGAGGCTAGGGGTGCAGCCAGTGCAAAGCCACACACATAAACACACACAAATTGAATACTGAAATCAATGAGGAAAGTTGTAATGCTATATTTCTAGAATTTTAAAATGGAAAAAAATTGAAAGCATTATTTACTTCCTGATAATTATACGTAAGGTGCTTCCATGTTTTAAAAGTTAAGATGCTGCAAAAGAAATATCCTTGTCCTACACTGTTTCACTATATTATTTAAAAAGCTTTAAAATAATCATATTAGAGAGAACTCATTTATAGTAGTCCTACCTTATCCAATTTTATTTTTTGAGATTTCAGTTATTCAAAAGGTCAAGGATGAACACATTGTAATAAGACATTCTGAGAGCAACTGGAAAAAATGACATTCACATAATATACTGTATCTTATCAGTTATTGATCTCATATCAGCTTAATTTATAAACTACATTTTATCACAGGTATGTATGTATTAGAAAAAAACACAGACAGGGCTTACTACTGAGGTTTCAGGCATTCACAGAGGGTCTTGGAAGGGACTCCCCTACAAACAAGGAGACACTATTGCATATTTTTTACTAGAGCCAAAGCTATCCACAGTAGACACAATTGCAATATGCTACATATGATTTCCTATCAAAGAAAAAAAGTTGCTCAAATTAAAGCAAAAATAAATATACAGAAAAGATACCAAAAAACTAACAATAACTGTGAAATGAAAATTCTGAGTGCTCAGTGGATGAGACCTTTTGAGAACAAAAAGCACTGTGGCTTACATGTTTCAAAACTATACCATATTTTTAGTAGAAGACTAAAAAGGAACTGTTATAAAACACTTCATTCTTGTTCTCTGTAGCTTTGTTTTAAACTTAGAGAATATACAACTGAGACATCATCTCAAGCTTTTAAACATTTTACACTTGTTTATAAACTCTACCTAAAGTCTAATTTAGACCCACAGCAATGTCCTAACACATTTAGAAAATGGCTTTCACAATTAGATTTTTTTCTAGTTTGTAACTAAAAATAGTTCTCAAATACTTAAAAAGCTAAAATTTACCTATGACTCTTTGGTTTTGGATTTAATTTTTAATTTTTATTAGTACATATTTGCAATACATAATGATTACATTCACCATGGGGAATTGGTACTATATAACACATCTCAAGGGTTGGGGTTTTTTTTTTGTTTCGTTTTGTTTTGTTTTGTTTTGAGACAGGAGCTTGCTTATCTAGTTCACGGGCCTATATAGCCCAGGCTGGCCTCAAATTTGAAGCCATCCTTCTTCCTCCCCACTACTGGGATTATAGTTATGTGTCACCACATCCAGCTAACCTATGACTTCCTTCAATTACTTTTACGAAAAGAAAAATCTCCTAGGAATCACAAGTTTTCATTTGTCATTTTATATACTGAATAAAGGACATGACAAATCAACATATTAAATTATGTAGTGCACTGCAACTGACTTTGCATCCCACAAAAAAATTCATCTGCTAAACCCATAAACTATACTCTCTTGGGATACTTATGTAGAGATAAGTGTCTTTTTAAAGACATAATTAGGTTTACAAGAGGTCATGAGGTGGGACCCTCATAATCAGACCATTAATCTTACAAGAGACTAGAGAGAGCTTGCCCTCTGTTCTTGCCACATGGGGAAACTCAAAAAAGAGCCTTCTGCAAGGTAGGCAATCTCTCACCATGATCTTGGACTTTCAGCCTCCAAAACTGTGAGAAAATAAATGTCTACAGCTTTGACCACCATGTTATGGCACCCTAAGTAAACCAAGATACAGCTGACTTTATACTAAAAAATGTATGTGTGCATGTGTTCACATCGCAAAATTAAAGTGACCTTTCCAAATAAATACTGTCATGTTTTGTTAAACAGTTTTAGGGGTTCCCACAAGTTTACGCTTTTTCTTTAAACAGGATATTAAAAACAGATTTTTCTTGAAAGATCCCTTTATGCCAAGTAAAATAAGGAAAGGATTTGCAATTACTTTTGCCCAACTGAAACTCGAATGCATATCCTGTTAACCTTATTGATTAATTGGGATAAGTGAAAATGACTTAAAAATAATCTGCCAACAGCCATACAACAAAAAGTCCAATTTTGTCAACATTTAACAGCTTTAGTTTAACGGTAAGAATGAAAGTAACTCTTTGGAAAAGATGACTAAACGTACTGGTAGAGTTCAATAAATCATCTTGCACAACCATTCTGTCAGCATTTTTACCACTGCTTGTAAATAACACTGAAACATGTAACGTGTTTGTCACAAGATTTGATCGACCTCAAGATTGTTTCTTGAAGAGTGCATTAAACTGGGCATATTATTTTATAAGTCAGTGTCTCCAGCCATTTAAAATTATTCTTCATGAAAGGAAAAGAAAGGGGGTCGGAGGAGGTAGTCATTTTGAAAAACTCCACTCAGTGGAAAAGGAAAAAAACACACCCTGGTCTGGATGAAATGAGAGTCTTAAGAAGGATCTTAACCCAGCTAATTTTAACTAATTATTAAAATGTAAGGCAGAGAAATATATCTATTCTAGTAGAGAAGGAAGCACGCTTTAAAAGTACGAAACAAGAGACTTTGTTTTGTAAATGACAGTTATGATAGGAATAATCTAAGATTCAGGAAAGTATATAAATACATGTTTTAAAAGACGTGGAAACAGACACGCCAAGTTTTTAATAGAAGGTTGGGATGAGGTGCGCCCAGAAAGGTTTCAGTGTGGACGCTACTCAGGTTCCATTAAAAACAATGCAAAGAAGCTCGCGCGAGTGCAAAACATCGAAAATATCACAAACAACGCTGAAGGGAGAAAGATCTCCAAATTCGCCCCCACTCAACGCCCTGATACGCGGCCCTTCCTCCCGGCCAGGGCGGCCGCCCGCCCCTCTGCCCAAGACAAAGCGCCGAGACAGACGCGGATACGCGGCGGGGCGCGGGCTGCACCCGCACGTGGGTTCTCGCGTCGTGGGTGATTGCGCGCGCTGGGCGCTCTGACCCGACCCGCCCCGCCTTGGCCCGGCCCGGCCCGGCCCTGTCAGCCCGCCCCCGCGCCCGCGCCCGCGCCCACCTGTTGGTCGCACTCGGGGCAAGACTTGGTAGCCATCTTCACTTTCTTGGCTCGCGTCGCGGACATGATTCTCTCCTAGGGCAGCGCGGCGCGGCCCCTCCCCGCGCCCGCGGCGCCCGGCCTCCGCCAGGCTCGGCCTTCCTGTTCCAGACCCGCTCCCTCCTTAAGCGGGTCGAAGCTCGGCGTTGCGCGTGCGCGAGCTCACGAGCCTGCGCGCCGGGGGGCGGAGCGGCGGGGGCAGGCTCCCCAGACTGCGGCGCGCGCACAGTGTGAACGCCCGCCCACTGGAGCGCGCCCGCGCCTCACGTGAGGAGAGGGCCTAGGGCGCCCAGCAACGGCCACGCCCCCTCCAGGCCCGGCGGCCGCTGGCCACGCGGACTAGGCGGGGCCCGGGAATGACGGACGTGGGTCCGAACCAAGGAATGCGTAGGTAGAGCAGGCCGTGGCCCAGGCACGCCCTCTGCCATAACACAGGGAAGGGAGAAGCTGGAGGCGGTAAGAGGCGGTGATTGGAAAGACGTTTGCTCAGGTCCTGGTGTTTAATACGGTTAGGTAAATGTCAGCCAAGAATTATAGTGGCATTTAATGAGCCTGCGATTTGCTAAGCCCTGGATTTGCCGGTGCAGTTTGTAGAATATTTTGAAGGCCAATTCAGCCGGACAGATCTGAGTACTGAGGTGCTTGCCTCAAACAACAAGCAGTTTAGGTAGTGTAGACAGCCTAACACGAATAGAGCAGGGCCATGTGGGTACTGGGACCGCAAAAGGGTGATTAGCCAACCTAGACTTTGACCTACCAATCTTACCTTGAGGAATTTGAAGAAATATTCACCACTTGGGCCCTCAAATGATGCCGTTTGTAACACTGCTTGTCAGAACAAGAGCAATGGGTACAACCAAGCTCAGGGTGGAGCTGAGCCTGGGAGAGAGAGGAAGATCTACTTCTACAAAGCCCTCAGTACCTTAGAAGAAAATCGGGGCTTCCCCCTGAGGGCAAAGGAGCAATAAGGGTTTTTATTGGGAGTGAGGCAAATTTAGGCTTGGAGAATGGTTGGTCCAGCAATTGCCTCAGGTCTCAGAAGTGGGGAGAGAAGGGAGTAGAACGAAGAATTGAAAATGTGGAGGTCACATTACTACCAAAACTGGAGGGGCTATTCTGCTGTGGGAAGGAGAGGTTTTTTTTACAGGGCAATTTCCTGGCTAATTTTATTACAAGGGAAGAGGTAGAGGAGGAGCACCTTGTAGGGCAAGAGTCAGGATCCTAAACTGTGGTAGGGAAAGAAAGAAGACTTCTTTAAGGAAATTTGCATGGTGGACAGTTAATATTCAGAAACATAAAGGACATGAAAGAAGACTATCACCAACTGAGCGAGGAAGGTGAATGCCACACACTGAAGGTAGGTGCTAGAAGAGTTCACTTTTCCCTGGCTTTTGATGCTATTAATTATGGTGCCTAAGATCTTTCACATGTATTGCTAAAGTGGCCAAAGGTTTTTTAGGCTCACACTGTGTAATTAGAGTAGGCATGAGCTTTAATAACAGGTATTAAATACTTGATAAAATGGCAATTCAGTACTGCTTTTTAATCTCTTACAATTAAGAGACAAGCTACCTCAGTAAGACGGAGAGAAATGAGACAGAACAGCCTTCATCTCCACTTGTTTCATATTTTGACATTCAAAATGAATTTTGTACCAAACAGCCTTTTGAAAGCTTTTCTTCTGGAAAAAATTAGTAAGAACACTGAAACTTTGCAAATCTGTATAAAATTTCTCCTTTTTCTTAGCCAATATAACTTCTGAATTAAAGAGTTATAAATTTAAAGCTGTTTCAGGCACAGCTGTATTTACACACACAAATAAAAACTATGGAAGCTGTTCTGTACCTAGAGTTTGCATGCCGTGTGGAAGATGGTAGGGAGATCACTGGGACAACATAGCACCCTAATATCACTCCCTTCCTGTCTCAACATGTTTCGCTGCTCCTGTTCAGGCCAACCCAACCCCTCCATTGGGTTGGGCCACTCATCCTGCTTGAAAATACGACTGGGACCTAAGGAGAAAAAATAGATGGTCATAAAATAGCTACTATTTACTCTTGAGAGACTAATCATATAACATTATGTTCTTCTACACTGGCCAAGCCCTTGTGCTCTGGAACCATCAAACCTCACCATTGGCTGTATTTTTTTTGTTTTTATTTGTTTGTTTGTTTTTAATCAGGAATTGAATTCAGGATCTTGTGCTTGCCAGGCAGGTGCTTGTGCTGCTGAGCTATATCCCCAGCTGTATTTGAAATGAAGTCCTTTGTACAATTCTGGTTTTAACCCTGTTACCCCATCAATCAGAGTTAAATCAGAAGCTTCACTCTCATAGGAGCAAGGTAGAGTCCACCAAAACACTGGAAGACCCTCTGACACATCCAAAGATGTAAGAGTAAATGTGCAGGTGACTGCCGCCCAGAGCCTCAGCAAAGGGGTAAATGAGGCTGTAAGCAGCCAAGATGTGCTGACCTTGCCTTGTATCACAAAGCGGGGCTACTCTTACACAAAAGAAGGGATGCAATGCTTTTTTTTTAAAATCAGATTTGAAGCAAATTATTGCTTCTAAATCAGAAGATTTTCTGTTTCTTAATGATGAAAAGGGTGGTAATTTGAGAAAAGGTCCAGTAAAATGAATGGGACAAAATTTCTTACCCCATGAATTTTTTATGGTGATTTATACCTGTGGTTGGATGTTGTCTCAGAAAACATTCATATCTGCTAACTAATGCAGGCTGCTTCTTCATCAGTTTTTTTGCATTTCAACTTCTTGACAATGTGACGCTAATTGGTTTTACCTAGGTTAAAGAATCACTAATGCAATAGTCTTCTTGCAGTTACTAGAATCTTTTTTTGGCTGCAACTGTTTTAACAAATGTTTGGCAATTTCACAAACATCAAGCCAACTGTCAGACCACTTCCAGTTGCCATTTACAGTATCCTTCAAAGCTGATGGTCCTCTCTAAAATGTCTCTCCTTTTTCAAGTTTAACTGTCTCAGCTTGTAGTGATCCATTCACAGGTGCCTAGTCACTTGTCCAGTTTTTGCCTTCCCAACCACAGCGAGGTATTGAGAAATTGTTGCAGCAAAAATTCCAAAATCTGTAACAAGGCCTTGAATTGCTGTTTTGGGGTTGGCTTCCACCATGGCTGTTAGCTTATCTTCTTTTGAAACAGATTCAGATCTCCCTCAAGGCTCATTCTGCAGACGTATTCTCAGAAAGAAACTTTTTAGGGCCAGGGATTTAGCTCAGCGGCATAAGCACCTGCAAGCGCACGGTTGTGAGTTCTACCCCTGGTACCAAAAAAAAATTAATTAATTTTAAAAAATTAAAAGGGAAAGAAACTTTTCAAACCACCAAGGGATAATCGACTCACGGAGCCTTTTCCTAAGGCAGAGTTGATATCCTACTTACCTTAGCTGTACTGCAGCCTAGTTTAAATTCATATAAAAAGGATTCACATATCTTTCAGTTCACTTCTGTTGATAAAGTAAACATTAAAAATAAACATTGAAGACTTCAATACCATTATGAATTTTAAATAGTGCAAGCCTGGTATCAGGCAGACTGAAGTTTCAACTGGTCAAATAACAATTTCAGTGGAAAACACATTTTTATCAGTAGGCTCAGTTGATATCAGTTCATATCATTTGGATGTTACCTTGAAGCCTTTTGATTTTCCAATGGGAATATAATTTCCACTAATTTTATAATCATCTGCCAAAAGGGGGGGCTTTCAAAGTAAAGTATGAGTTGTGCTTTTAATCCAAGAACTCAGTGGCTACCAACACTTTTTTCAGTGCTATCAAATTGACCTCAGATCAGTTTAATAGATAAGAAAAAATTTTCCTATTGACTGATATTTATGTTTCTTTGACAGAGCATTTGTAGATTTTACTCTTGACCATTTCGTATGATCTGAATGACTGCTACATTTCATAATCTTTTGTTTTATGAAGCTTACTGCAAAATTTATCCTCTTCCACCCATCTCTCTATTTTACTTCTTGAGGCTTCATTCTTAGTTTTGGTATGGATTAATAAAAACAATATATTTTAAGGGTATGGAAAGATTGTTTGCCCAAGTTCATATTTCCCCTCAGCAGTCATATATTTTAAATCCACTACCTTGTGTGTTTCTTAAAACTACAGCTGTGATAAAACCTGTGCCCAAACCCAGCAGACTTTAAGTCTAGTTACAGGTTATCAGTGTTTGAGGTGGGATGAATCTTTGGATAAGAGAGAAGTTTTATTTTTCAGCCCCTTATTAGTACATATTCTACCACACTAACTTTTTTGGCTCCCAGATGATAAAGTAGAAATAAGAAAAGAGTCTGTTTCTTTTTGTTCTCACTTAAATTCCAAATTAAACTTTTCAATAAATTATTTTCTAAACTTTGCAATGCATTGATACTCTTCTATTACCAAAGCAAGGGGAAAACTCTGGCCTTAATCATAATATACTGTTGGGCTTCCGGGAGAACATGGCAGATAGATAACAGCAGCTACGGAGGCTCTCTGAGACAGCCAGCATAGTATCCAGGAATGATGTGGTGTGAGGAGTCCTAAGCAAGGGGAGTTATACCCTGCCGACCCAGGAATGAACTAAGCTGAGAGAAACCAACTGGAAATGCAATCGTGGTGCTATAATCGGAACAGATAAAATCTCAGCACTGAAGTTGGAACCCGCTCATCTGGAAATCATGATTTGAATTTCCTGCCGCCGCCGCTGCGTCTGAATCCACACAGCAGGAAGACAGACACATGAAAGCTCTGACAGTGGGAATCGGCGAACAGAGTTGAGAGCGGGACTGGCGGGGAGTGCTGCATTGACCTGCAGTGAGTAAGAGGAATGGGAACCCTTTAATAGACTAGGAGGCTCCAACAGAGGACATTCTTGGACGGGGCAGACTAGCCGGAACAGGACACTGCAGTGACTTTAGTCACATATTCCCCTCTCAAGCCAGATTGGTGGGGAGCCCTTGGTCTAGGTGACACCGCAGACTAAGACCCGGTAGGCTAGTCCAAACCAGGTCCGGGTGCCTGGCGGTGCACCCTAGCAGTGAAGCCTTCAGTAGGTTCACCTGGAGGGGCGGGCCCAGCAGAGGCTACTCAGGACTGTGTGTCCCTAGTACACTGCAGTGGGCGGGAACACCTAGCCAGTGCAATTCAAACA